AAATGTATAGTGAAAATTATGTTTTGTTCTGCTCTTTTTCTCCTGAGATGTGGACCGCTCCTAGTTTTTCTCTTTATGTGCATTTCAGGACCTGTTCCAATTCTGGCTGGAAAAAGGAGTGAAAGGCTTTCGAATAGACGCTGTGCCTTTTATTTTCGAAGACGAGGACTTGACAGATGAGGCATTCTATGGCGAGCAAACCCAATCTCTACCCGAAGCTTATGAACTAGTGGAGGACATGCGAGCTTTTGTGGACGAATATGGTGAAGAGCATAATGTGGATATGTAAGTTATGCTATATTTCATTTCTAATTATATCATCGCTCTAAGGGTAGTTATACCGTCGGATTTTTGTGCGTGTGACGGTATTACACGTTATTATACTTTCATTTTTAACCATGGTACCTGTATTGGTGGATTATTTGCTGTCATTCCCTGGTAAAAATTGGCAATAAGAGCTGCGTTTCAAAATACAATAGGAATTATTAAATCCAGCTATAGGACGCAACAGAAAATTATAAAGCTGGCTGGAGAAGGTGAAAAAAATCATACAGCCGGACTATGTTCCTGGCGCCGGGCTGCACAGTTTATTCCCTGGCTGTAGCTTTATCGCCATCGGCTATAAAACGCTATAAGAAATTGAACACTGGAAAAAAAAACACATTGGATCTAGAGTCCAGACTCTTAAACCGATCGACAAGAAAAAATACTATTGATTCAATCAGATTTAAACTTAAATCAAGAACCAAGCCTCTTAATTTGAGCGGATTTCCTTTTGATTTCAGCTTAAATCTGATTGAATCAAGAGTCCTTTTTCTTACCAATGTTTTCAAGAGTCTGGACTTATATCCAATGTGTTTTTTTCTCCAGTGTATAGCCGGCTATAGAAGCTATAGGAAATCTTACAGCCGGCTGTAGGTCTATAGTTTTTTGGAACACAGATCCTACTGCCAATTTTTACCAAGGTTGTGATTGTGTACTCAGTATCCATTGATAATTTACCCTGCTTTTTCTGCTTTTCACACTCGTCCTCTGGATGATGTCAAGTTGATTCTTTGCTTGCAATGTTTCAGTATGCTGATGACTGAGGCCTGCGTTAAGCCTGACATGGTTTTAAAATATTTTGGAACCCCTGAATCCCCGGGAGCCCACATACCTTTCAATTTCCTGCTCCTCACCCATTTCAGGGAACAAACGAACGCTCGTGGGCTTAATAACACTGTTGCCGGCTATTTGGGAAGTTTGAAACCGGATCAGATGCCCAACTGGGTGGTGAGTTTTTGAGTTCAAATACATTTTTTTCGTCAATAAAAAATGTAGGATTTACGTTGAAGGGTCGACAAAGAAGACTGTATTCAAGGAATTCAAGTACATAGAGTAGATCGTATATAAACTGCTTAATATTAATTTGAATGGTGTGAAGAACGAAATAGAAATCGAGAAACAAAGATTAAGACCAGTTTTTTATGTTTTTTTTTTTTTTTTTTTTTTTTTTTTTTTTTTTTTTTTTTTTTTTTTTTTTTTTTTTTTTNCTGGGTGGTGAGTTTTTGAGTTCAAATACATTTTTTTCGTCAATAAAAAATGTAGGATTTACGTTGAAGGGTCGACAAAGAAAACTATATTCAAAGAATTCAAGCAAATAGAGTAGAGCGTACACGAACTGCTTTATATTAATTTGAATGGTGTGAAGAACGAAACAGAAATCGAGAGACAAAAAGTAAGACCGGTTTTTTATGTTTTATTATTTTTTTTTAAATAGCTTGAAATAGTTTATCACTTTGCCAGTCCTTAATGACGTATATTTTTATCCCTAACCGCCACCGTTCCCTATCATACCAACACCCTTAAGAAATCCCCAATTAAACATTCAGAATTGAATTCTATCCCCCAACCTCTCACTAATGTCCTTCGCAGCCTCTCCGGTAACCTGCAAAAGTTTCACTGCGAGTGCCCTTGGGAATTTCACGCTCAAAAGTTGCACTCTCTGCCGACGATCAGAAATTTTCTGCGACGACTTGCTTATAAACAATTTGACAGTCGCAAAAATTCTATTTTTTATCCAAATTGAATCCAACGATACGTAACTTGAGGATTCAATTTAAAACATCAATATCTTCAGTCAAAAATCTGACCAAGTCAAATCGGTTTTTTTTTTTTTTTCTTTTTTTTTTTTCCTATAACGTTTGCTTGCTTACCTATGTATTTTAGTCAGGAAATCACGATATGGTGCGGATTCAGTCTCGTATGGGAAGCGCTACGGATGTAGACCTAGTGAATATGCTCAACCTTTTGCTGCCTGGTACTTCGACCGTCTACTACGGTGACGAAATCGGCATGGACAGCTACCAGCGCATGGACAAATCTGGACTCTCCGCAAAATTGCAGGAGGACTATCGCACTCCTCACAGGACCCCCTTCCAATGGTCCGATGAAAAAAATGCAGGTATAATCCATACGACTGTGCTTTTGGTTGATTCCCATATCGATGATGACACACTTATGCATTGCTGATCATCCAGATCTAATTTACCTTAGTTCAAGAAGACAAATATGTTCATATTTTTTTGACTATCAAAAAAATGAAATGAGATTTGCCAGAGTCCTTGTGAGCAAGAGGAGAATTTGTGTACTTAACACTATTCTTACATCTCGAATAATATTTCTCCGTAATTGAAGTCAATGGTTCTTAACTCTTACATCTCGCTCATAAAAATTAAGATATTTAAAGTTTACGCTGAGTAAATCGTTCCCCAAAGAGAGAAATCATTATTACGGATAAGACTTCGAATAGCACATTTTTGCAGAGGCCCTATAATATAGGTAGAGTATGGCTGCTTTTGATGATGAATTATTTTCGTACGCTCATTCATTTCCTCTTCGAAATAGCTCATAGTCATTTCTCGCTCCAGAACTTGGAGCTAAGAACATTTTGGGTTCCCTGCTAAAAACGACCATGTTGGAGAATGGAGCATGGTTTGAAGAGAAAATTTCATCGACTTCATTATTACGACTTTTCTTTACTCTTTTCTATTTTTATGAGACTGCTTCTTTGTTTTATTTTGTACCTGATAAAAGTCTTTTTTTGACAGGGTTCACCAAAAGTGATACACCGTGGCTACCAGTGCACCCAGACTACTACCGAGTGAACGTAGTAGCGCAAAACAGGACCTCTTGCGAACCTGGCGAAACAACCCATTTGAAAAACTTCAAGAAAATGGTGGAATTGAAGAGGACAAATCTTGCTTTTAGGAAAGGAAAAGTTTCCACTTACGTGCTCGATGACGACGTCTTTGCTTTTGTGAGGTACATCCAAATATTATTCTTCAAAATTTCAGAGATCACATCGAAATTTAGAAAAATAAGAGACACCGATTTCATAAACTGCCTAATATTGTCTATATAATCTTCATATTTCATGTACACAAACACTTCAAAACTAAACTTCAAGAAAGTAACTAATTTCTAGTTCGCACACGACCTAATATAAATCGGTCTGATCATAGTCTTAATGACCTCAATGAAATCTGTGACGAAATTTCAAAATTAGAAATTCTTCAAATGACCAGTACTGTTTTAAAGCATTAGGACTCCAGATTAAACGAGTCAACATATACTAAGAAAGCATATTAATGTACTTACTTTGTCAGTCCAATTTCCTACACCTATAAACTAACATTATTTTGATTTTGCTTTCAGAGCGTACGGAAGAGTGGTAAATCTCGTCGTGTTTAATTTGAGCAAGTCGCAGAGCAAACCAATCAACCTTGCCAAAAATATTCCGGTTGCCAAAAAAGCTAAATTGGAAAACATCGAAGTCAAAAGTGTGAATATGCCACGGTAAAAAAAATGCAACTTAAACTTAAATTGACCACTAATCCTGTTTCTTTTACATTGTATTGATTTTATTTATGAGTGAAAAAGATTCTTGAACTCACATCACACGCGGAGGGCTCATACTTCAACAAACTCATGACTAAAATTTCAAGAAGAAAGACGTAAGATATAAAATGCGGTCTCGCAGATAACAATCATGTACACATAGAAAACTTCAGGTAATTTAAATAAACAGCAGTTCAAGGATTCCAGGGGGACTAATAAAAACTGTTTTTCTTTAACAGTCGGGATAATGACATTCTTCCTCGTTAGATAGGACGCTCCGATCTAAAATGGCAATAGAGCTCAGTTCGCCTTCATTTGAATGGCTAGGCAACAAATTCTACACATCAAAATAGTCGCATCTTTTAGAATTTGCCAATACGATTTGCGACTTTGTTTTGGTTGATACTCAGATTGAATTTTAAAATGATTTTTTACTTAAACTAACCGCTATCCATTCATTACCTGAATCAAAGGCTGTTCAAGGTCTCTGAGATTTATTTACAGCTTTTTTTTAATGGATATGCTCAAATTTGGCAGGGCCGGATTAGCATTAAGGGGCCTGGGGTACTGGCTGGCACAAGTTGCGGAATTGCCTACTCTCCAAATTGAAGGCATTTCACGTTTGTCATTGTCGCCCAAAAAACGAATGTCTCATTAAAGGCTACAGCTTCCCCGCCGCCCCAGCCCCCATCGTCATTTCATTCAAGGACGATAAAATATTAACGCAGCCCTCAAATTATGGATGCCACACATAGTATGTATTTCCCCCGGAAAATTTTGAAAAATTGAGTCTTCTCAAGAGTAATTTTAAGCTAATCTTACGACGGTAAAGTTGATCCAATTTCCAACATAGGAGATATATCATGGATTTACTTGGCAAAATCAAGCTTATTCACTTTTTCCAATCCATCATTCTATCCATGAATCATCACAATATTAACTTTGAATATTTGCGTTTGCCTGATTTTTCAGCGATCTAACAACATCACAATTGTTCCCTGGAGATTTCACTATGCCACCGAGGTCAGGATTGGTTTTATCTTTCAGACTGACCGGGTAAGTTCCAAAATTGAAATCAGGGAAGTGAATATCAGGATACGGGAGAGAAGCGCTCAACCCGTCTTAACTTTTTTTATATTTAATTTTAAAATTATCTTATTCTGATTGTTGTTCACTGTATCGAGGAGGGAGATTTTACATGGGGTCATCATCCCTTAACCCTCCCTCGAGAGCTAAGGGAGCGGACACACCGAAATCATCGACAAATTCGCCAAAGTATATCGATCATGACAAATTTTGTGGCAGGGCGATAAGAAAGAAAATTTTTGGGACATGTCGGTCGTAAGTTTATTTACCATCATCTCAAAATGACGGCCAATGAGGGAGAAAATAACAAGTCGAATTTAACAAGTTTTTGATGGTTTTCTCTTGTAAATGCTCAGCTTTTTCAAAATCATTTTCAAGAATTATTATCACTCCAGGGAACGTGCTACATAATAATAGAGTACATAAAGTCGTAATTTAAATGAGAGAACTGGCGCGACTTTTAAGCATTCTCCAGGTCCCGAATTCTGAGACTCCTGTGTCACGTGGGGTCACTTTTTCGACATATAATCAATTGTTTTCGATACACAAGGACCTGGTTATCCGATGTAAACAAAGAGGATAAGAATTACCACGTATTCAACATCGTCATTTTGGATAGAAAATGTATCAAAAAGTGACCGAAGCTCGGCGCACACCGGGCTCGGAACTCGTCGACAGAACCATAGAGTACATAGAGTCGTAATGTAATTGGGAGAGCTGGCGCCACTTTTAAGCATTTTCCATGTCTCGAATTCCGAGATTCCTGTGTGACGCCGGGTCACTTTTTCGATACATAATCGATTGTTTGCGATACACGGGTACCCTGCCATTCGATGACAACAACAACAACAACAACAACAACAACAACAACAAAGGAGATAGGAATTACCACGTATTCCAAACCGCCATTTTGGATCGAAAATGTATCGAAAAAGCGACCCGAACTCGGCGCACACCGAGCTCGGAATTCGTCGAGCAGAACATGGCGCCAGCTCTCCCATTTACATTACAACTCTATGTACTCTATGACCAGAACATGGCGCCAGCTTCCCATTTACATTACAACTTCATGTATTCTATGTTCATAATATACGCTCACAGGTCAATTTTCCATCAATTCCAGGATAACGGTGCGTAGACCGCTCGACCTGTACTACGTCCCAATAAGCGGGCCTTGCCGGGGTGCAATGCTGGCCGCCAAACTCCTCGGCGTGGACCTGAACCTGAAGTTGGTGGACCTCCCGAACAAGGAACAGATGAAACCCGAATTCCTCCGCATGAACCCGCAACACACAGTACCAACACTCGACGACAACGGGTTCTACCTCTACGAGAGCCGGGCAATCATCACCTACCTGGCCAACAGATACGGCAAGTGCGACACCCTGTACCCCAAGGACCCCATAAAACGGGCCATGGTCGACCAGCGATTGTACTTCGACATGGGGACTCTGTTCCAGCGGTTCGGCGATTACTGGTTCCCGTACATGTTCGCAGGGGCTCCGAGGGATGCGGCCAAGTTGGCCAAGCTTGAGGAGGCCTTCGGGTTCTTCGACACGATGCTGGAGGGGTCGATTTATGCTGCCGGGGATACGATCACCGTGGCTGATGCTGCGTTAGCCGCGTCCGTGTCGACCATCGAGGCGGTTGGTGTCGTCGATGTCAACAGATACCCTAATGTGAGTCGCTGGTATAGGAAGTGCAAAGCCACACTGCCCGACTACCAGGAGACCAATGAGAAGGGCGCTCTGGCTTTTAAACAGTTTGCCGATCTGCTGATTAACAAGCGTAAATTTGCAGGTCCGTAGATTGATACCACTCGCGTCAACTCGCCATGATGGATGATTGATCTATTTTTGCAATGATTTTATGTTTAGACCGTTGTAAGGAACTAGGAAGATTTCATGGGCGGCTGAAGTCATTCACTCATACATTCTTCCTAAACATTGAGGAACTCTCACCAAAAAGAAAGGGATCTGAAGGGTAGGATCTGAAACTTTCAGGCCTCATAATGTCATTCTAAACATAAAAGTAAAAACTCAATTTTCCTCTATAAAGTGTGTCTGTTTCATTTATTTCTGATTGTGGCTGAATAAAGAGAATCATTTTTAAAAAAGTCCGTCTTATCATTTTTAACTTGGTTCAGGTGTGTTTTTATTACCATTATGTTTGAAAGAAAGGTACCTTCGACTTTCAAATATGCGTTGGAATCAATGCTTTATTTTATGTTTTACTTTTTGAATAAAATATCATATCTTATCTTATCTTACAAATCGTGCCATATATTTAAGAAACGCAATTCATGATATATAATATTACTGCGATTGCGGTTGGATGCAACAAAAAAATCCAAAAAAAGGGACAACATAAAACAGGAGCCAATGAGAATTTTTTTTTTTTTTTTTAAATTTACTACCGCAGATGAAGCGCAGTGGTAAACGTGAATTAAAGGCTTATTTCAAATGAGGTTACAAACACTATTGGTTTCATTTTTTTCTGTCTCTTTCTTTTGATCTCCTTAATTTGGCTCAAAGACACTCTCAGAGATCTGGAGGAGTTTTATACCTCCTCACTCTTCCTAACGACCACTTTCGACTGCATGGGCATAAATAGCAAATACGGTTCAACATTAAGTGATCAATGAAATCACTATCAACTGATTTTTAGCGCGATATATTTTATTTTGCATTTCAACTAAATTTATGTTTTTTAGTTTATGTTGAAAAAGATTTCAAGAATCTCTCGTGAAAAGACCCTAAAATACAACTCTCTATTGGAAATAATATTAAATACAGAGCTAAAATGATTTTCAACGGGTATTTTACGGTGTTTTCAATTCGCCTTCATCTGCGTCCGTAGCAATTGTTGTTACAAATATGTCGTGCGTGCTGATTTCACCTGATTACATACTCTACTCCCTGAAGGCGTTTTATATGCTAAAGTGGCGCATTCTGTCGGAGAAACAACGAAGCGAAGTAGGGATTGAGCGATTCGTTCCATCTCACTTCTGCTGTTCTCCAACAGGGTGCTCTACTTTCGCACATTAAACGCCTTCAGAGAGTCGAGTATGTAATAAGCTGATATCAGCACGCACGACATATTCGTAACAACAATTGCTACGGACGCAGATGAAGGCGAATTGAAAACACCGTAAAATACCCGTTGAAAATCATTTTAGCTCTTTATTTAATATTATTTCCAATAGAGAGTTGTATTTTAGGGTGTTTTTACGAGAGATTCTTGAGACACTTTTCAACATAAACTAAAAAACATGAAAGTTGAAATGCAAAATAAAATATATCGCGCTAAAAATCAGTTTTCTGAGAATTCAATCAATTTAGAAGTTCACTTTAAAAAGAAAAACCGAGAACTACATATTTAGTATATACCACACAAAGGAAATTCTTACTGATGTGTTGGGGGGGGGAGGGGATGTTTGATAGTGTGTTTTCGTAGTTTGCGTGAGATAATAATGAAAAATGGAAAGTAACGCAAAAATAAATGACATAGATAGGCTTCCCTAGGAAGGTTACCAGGGCCGGATTTACCTTCTTGCCGCCCATGGGCCGCCTGTATTTTGCCGCCCCTTCTCATTCGTTTTGAAACATCGATACAAACCATCAAGTGAACGTGCCGAAGGAGGAGGGGTGCATGATACGCGTTTACTCGTGTTGGGTACATGTTTTGTGAAAGCCCTGTCAACATTAGCGAAAGTTCACGGAACTTTGCGCGAAAATTAAGTTCCGTACACCTATCTCTGTGTGGACGAGGCCTTTCATTTACAAGAAAAGAACGAAAAAATTATGAAAGAACAAACATGAATCCGGTTTAATGCTTTTGATTTCCGCCACCGCGCCAACCGCACTGTGTTAGGCGCAATGCGTGAAATATCCCTACTGTCTTGTAGGCGCTATGCGTTTCACGCCGACCGCTGCTGACCGCACTACGTTTGACGCAATGCGTGAAGTATTCATGGAGTCTTGCAGGAGCTAATGTGTTTCATGCTAACCGGCACGCCGCGCCGAGGGCTTCTCCTTTCCATCTCAAGTCCTCGTCATCACTGCTCTCTGCGCCGCGCCGCTCCAGGCCAAATTGCGTGTTTGGTTTCTCTCTTAACTAGACTAATGAAATGCGCTGTCTCTTGTATCGCGAAGGACGAACAACTTAGAAATTACTATAGGTACTTTAACTTTCAGGAAATGAGAGTTTTTTTCGCCTTTTCTCGTTTGTATTTTTTTTTTCTGAATCAGATTTTTTTCTTGATACCTATATTTGACAAAAATCACAACGTTTTGCCGCCCCGTAAATTTGCCGCCATGGGCCGCGGCCCATGTGGCCACCCCCTAAATCCAGCCCTGAAGGTTACCATGATATACAAGTATTATTCTCTCGGGAAAGAAAACTATTTCCTCTGGGGAGGAAACTATTTTTCTGGAGAGAAGACTATATTCTATGGAGAGAAAACTATTTTCTGTGGAGAGACAAGAGCCGTCGCCTCGTACGTTCAATTAATTCTACCGTTTTCCTGCGATCTAACTCCATTAAATTCAAATCGTCATTATTTTAACAGCTCTAGATAATTCTTAGACCTGTCATCGGGTGTTCTCATGCGGGAACAATCAAAGCTCTTACCTATTTGGTGACGGCGCAAAAAATTTAACTGGAAATGCTTTCATTGTCCAGATGTTTCCGCGGAAATGATCTGCGGTCTCTAAATGCGTTTAATCACTAGTATTTAGACACGCTAACTGACGTTCGGGTGGCCTATTTCATTTCACATGATTCGTAATGAGAATGATTTGAAAAGTCTCATTACCTTTGACTTTTCGAGTATGATATTATGTGAGCTATTATGATACGTAGCGTCAGTAAAAAACGCTAGAATTAAATATGTTCAATGTTGTCACGTTAAGAAGCATCGACAGTTAAATCTAAAGCCTTCATTACAATGGGGGTTTTTTTATGATAAAGAAAATACATTTAATTAAACATTGTCGAAAGTTTTCCCAACATATGTGCAGCCAGGTTTACATATCTGCAGTAAAGACACAAGTTCTGCTTCTTAAATTTACCTGCTGCAAAGAAGTGCATAACGATAGTGAAATTACCAGACCACGTATCTCGTTTGCGGTGTTTAAAAATCTCCGCTCCCATTTTATTTTTGTGAAGGAGAATAAACCAATATCATTCCTTGAAATTTTCCCAGATTTTTTTCCACACAGAGAAGGAAAATCACGGAATTTTTCAAGAATCGACGTTGAGTATGGTTTTCCATCTATAAAATAAAGTATGACAGGAATTCTACAACGTCGGCAATCGAGATACATCGTCTTGTAACTTCACTGTCGATAGTGGACCAGCTATGCATTGACTAAAAAGCGTCATTCGCCTTCAATCCAAGGTATAGGCAAAAAAATTGGCATGATCAAAACCGCAGCCAACTACCAGGAGTGTTTTTGCTATACTGCAACCGTTTACAGAAAATCGTTGGGTACCCTGGAACACTTCGGAACGGAACAGAAAGATTCATATAAATAAAGTAAAATCCTGACGCGCAAGCTATGCAAAATCAAAAATCATGAAAATCACTATTCTGAGTGAATAGCCGGCGTGAAAAAAAAATTCAGCGCAAATATCGCGCCGCACTCTAAGTGAATATATCAGAGTATGAATTTCATCAACGATGAATTAGTTGAGCTCCCTCAAGTAGCGTGAATTTAGCATCTTTAAACACGGGCGCCGAATGGCAAAGTGGTAGCGTATTCGTCTATTACCGCCGTAACTCGAGTCCAAATCCATGCTGTGGTAGTTCCGTTTTACGTTCGCCTCTTGGAGTTACACTGTCGCCAAAGCGCGATATTTGCGCCGCGCACTCAGAGTAACAGGTATCAAAATAGCAACTGAAGAAGCGAGAATTTCGCATCGGTATTTTTAACAATGGAGCGATACAATATTAGATTACCGGTAGATTCATTTGATAGAACGAGGATCTCGCAAAACTATATTTGTGCTGATCTCCTCCTCCGAACCACTTTTTCCCCGTGTCAAGTCCCCTCTCCTGCTCTTACCCCCAATAGATTGATTTAGTGAACCCTTGGTTCAAATGTAAACAAACACAGAAACTTGTTTCTGATTCGCGCCTTTTGCACCTCATTGGTAACGGTAATCCAGGATTGCGCTAAAGGTCTAAGAAAATATAATGAGGATTGCACGAATAGAAACCTTAATATCTGCTGCAAGAATGCGCGCATTTCAAATAAAGTTAATTTAAGGTAGAAGTTTGGCAAAACAGGGAACAGTTGGAAAATAAACGCATTTTTATTTTAACGTTGATTTAAGTTAGTTTGTTGACAAATCATCGATGTCTTACCTCCTAATGATAAATGAAGTCAAAAGATTGAATAATGGCCATGGGTAAAAAGAAATTTCCTAACTTTTCTCGGAAAAAAATTTTAATCGGGAGAAACGAGGCAACGTTTGAATGCCCCCACGGCGTCGAAACAGAGCATGTGCCTTCTAAGCAGCAATATATATTCGATGTCGCAATTATTCTAGAGAGAGTTCGAATAGTCGGGCCAAACACAGTAAGGCTGGCGTTAAATGTATATTAGCGCCTGCAAGACTGTAGGAATACCTCGCGCATTGCGCCAAACAGTGCGACCAGCGCAAAGCCCATATTAGCGCCTACAAGACTGCATGAATACTTCTCGCATCGCACCAAACGCAGCGCAGTCGGTCAGTTGGCGTAAAACGCCTATTAGCGTCTACAAGACTGCAGGAATGCTGTAGATGCTGTAGGACTACGTGTTATGATTCTTGACTTTCTGCTCCAGTTTTTACCAAAATTAAAGGAAAAATATGTATCCTCATTGTAACGATTCAGAAAGTCGGNTTTTTTTTTTTTTTTTTTTTTTTTTTTTTTTTTTTTTTTTGTTAGGTACATTAAAAGAAAATAGAAAGTAAGAAAATATCGTGTGGATATTTTCGATTCTTTTGTTTGAAATCATTTAGGTTAATCCGCGGAAACTTCCTAGACCGTTTTGAATCCACTTATCTCTTAAGAAACTTGAACATGGTTGTTCTACGATTTTATACGTGCAGTTTTTGCAGTGGCTCGTGGCTGCGTTGCGGCCACAGGCCCCTAGTTCAGTTTTTAAATGTCTATGAAAGCTCTCTGGGTCTTCGTGCAAGGGCTGTTCATCGAAGAGAGACATGTCCGTAAGTCAGGGCGGAATAAACGGTCTTCTGCGATGTATTTATCCACCGCAAACTATATCAGGGTTACCAGATTCACGCATCCTCGTCGAATATTGAATATTCGCGCAAACATGTGAGTTTTCAGTACCAGAAATATTCGCGCAATCCTATGCATCTCCAAAAAGGTAAAAAAGGGTGCATTCGCGCAATCCTATCGCAGCTAGTGGTCAAATACATCCGAGCGTTTCTTACAATCGAAAGCTTGATATCGTGTTTAATGAGTCTTTAATTGCTTTATGACTGGTTATTGACTAAAATTTAATAAATTAACACAATTAACTCATGGAGAATTCGTACCTACATGAGACTATATTAGTTTGTTTTGGGTTCAACCAAGAGTTCGATATTACATCGAATGACATAGTCACGAAATCAGTCTATAAAAGAGGTTTGTCTCGCATGTCTAAATTTTCCCTACCTCTAATGATGCATGACGTTATTTCAGGACGACCTTTGGGTGCTTTTTGCCCACTGCTGTTNAGATTCATTTAGTGCACCCTTGGTTCAAATGTAAACAAACACAGAAACTTGTTTCTGATTCGCGCCTTTTGCACCACAGTGGTAACGGTAATCCAAGATTGCGCTAAAGGTCTAGGAAAATATAATGAGGATTGCACGAATAGAAACTTTAATATCTGCTGCAAGAATGCGCGCATTTAAAATAAAGTTAATTTAAGATAGAAGTTTGACAAAACAGGGAACAGTTGGAAAATAAACGCATTTTTATTTCAACATTAATTTAAGTTAGTTTGTTGACAGATCATCGATGTCTTACCTCCTAATGATAAATGAAGTGAAGAGATTGAATAATGGTCGTGGGTAAAAGGAAATTTCCTAACTTTTCTCGGAAAAAAATTTTAATCGGGAGAAACGAGGCAACGCTGGAATGCCCCGGCGTTAAATGTATATTAGCGCCTGCAAGACTGTAGGAATACCTCGCGCATTGCGCCAAACAGTGCGGTCAGCGCAAAGCCCATATTAGCGCCTACAAGACTGCATGAATACTTCTCGCATTGCACCAAACGCAGCGCAGTCGGTCAGTTGGCGTAAAACGCCTGCTAGCGTCTACAAGACTGCAGGAATGCTGTAGATACTGTGGGACTGCGTGTTATCTTTCTTGACTTTCTGCTTCAGTTTTTAACGTAAATAAAGGAAAAATATGTATCCTCATTGTAACGATTCAGAAAGTTGGATGATTTTTTTTTTAAAAAATAGAAAGAAAAGAAATATCGTGTTGATATTTTCGATTATTTTGTTGGAAATCATTTAGGTAAATTCGCGGAAACTTCCTAGACCGTTTTGAATCCACCCATCTCTTAGGAAACTTGAACATGGTTGTTCTACGATTTTATACATGTAGTTTTTTCAGTGGCTTGTGGCTGCGTTGCGACCACAGGCCCCTAGTTCAGTTTGTAAATGTCTATGAAAGCTATCTGGGTCTCCGTGCAAGGGCTGTTCATCGAAGAGAGACATGCCCGTAAGTGAGGAGGGAATAAACAGTCTTCTGCGATGTATTAATTTATCCACCGCAAACTATCAGGGTTACCAGATTCACGCATCCTCGTCGAATATTGAATATTCGCGCAAACATGTGAGTTTTCAGTACCAGAACATTCGTGCAATCCTATGCATCTCCAAAAAGGTAAAAAATGGTGCATTCACGCAATCCTATCGCAGCTAGTGGTCAAATACATCCGAGCGTTTCTTACAATCGAAAGCTTGATATCGTGTTTAATGAGTCTTTAATTGCTTTATGACTGGTTATTGACTAAAATTTAATAAATTAACACAATTAACTCATGGAGAATTCTACCTACATGAGACTATATTAGTTTGTTTTGGGTTCAACCAAGAGTTCGATATTACATCGAATGACATAGTCACGAAATCAGTCTATAAAAGAGGTTTGTCTCGCATGTCTAAATTTTCCCTACCTCTAATGATGCATGACGTTATTTCAGAACGACCTTTGGGTGCTTTTTGCCCACTGCTGTTATGCGCATAGACGATTTTTTTAGGGCAAATTGGTGGATTCACTTCGCAGAAAACGCCACGTGCGTGGTGTTTTCGTCAAAATTGACAAAGTCTAAAAGTCTCTGAATCCATGCCGGAGGCCAGAGACGAACAATCCGAATCTGACAACTTTTTACGTGCCGCGATGGCGGCAACGCAACGGCAGCAAAAAGAAGGCTGAAAATTAGGCGAAAAAAATTTCTGGGAAAAGCGGATCGGGCGTGGGTTAAATAGACGGTGGTTGACAAAAAGCAACCAATCGTCGAAGCAAGTGCGCGATGGTTTGCCGTGGTTTAGCGGCGGTGGTGTTGCTGGCGCTGGCCTCCGGTGCCCTGGCCGGGAAATGGTGGGAAAACGCAGTTATCTATCAGATCTACACTCCGTCCTTCTACGACTATAACGGGGATGGCATCGGCGACTTACGAGGTACGTGTTTTTCCAGCAATCTAAGGGAGGGTGCCGCACTGTTGTGAAATTCAAAAGAAGTTCGATGGAGTGACCTCACACAGAAGAGTGAGTCAATGGAAAAGTCGAACATTATGTGAAAACGTTAAAAGCTGATATCTTTGTTAAACTATGGCCTTTGTGATATTGATTTTGTGACCCTGCATGACGATGAAGCGCTCGCTTCGAAAAGCTTCGGTATAAAATTGTTAATAAAATGTAAGTATTTTTTTAAAACATTTTTGCATTATTTCTAGCACTCGGCTACAATCCAAACTCCAATATATTTAATGCTACTACCTTCAGACATTGCATTACAATGTTCGCTGATTTTGATCTTTGTTAATACAAAAGGCAGACATTTAGAAGTGGTTTCATTGGTAAACTTGTAAAATTCCCTTTAAGAAACACATCTTAAAATATATACTGCGACGAAATATTCAGCAAAAGCGGTCAAAAACATCATATCCGACCATTCCGAGAGGCTCGTTCTTGTATGTGACGTACGTCCCCGTCTATTAACAAGTGAAAACAAAATGGCGTACCGCTCTGCTCCATATCTACTTCCCTTAGTGCGTTACGAATTTTATGAACTGTCTTCTTCATTGTTAGCAATAATATTTCGGTTACGATTACAATGACGCATAGTTACCGGGACCAGAATCACTGTTGCCACAATAATAATATTGTAACTACATACCGACGGTGAAAGTCGGCAATCACATAACTCGTTTGCTGTGTCTGAAAATCTCCGCCTCTACGTCATTTTTTTAAAGGAGAACAAATTGATATTATTTCTTGAAGTTTTTGCAGAATTTTCTTCGCATTGAGAAGAAAAATCATGACAGTTTTAAAGAATTGCCGTTGAGTAGTTTTCCATTTAAAAAATGAAGTATGACAGGAAGTCTGCGACGTCGCAAACCGAGTTATGTGATTGCCGACTTTCACCGTCGATACATAAAAGTCGCTTTACAGCACTCCCTCGCGCTCTACGACTCCTAACCTCCACTGCTCTCTTTCAAACCACAAATCTTGGGGGATTGAGCACCTTAAATAATATTGTAACTACGACTAGAAAAAGGATCAACGATTCTTTTTCCTTTGTGTACATTGTGAAGGGCGGAGTAAACTCTTTTTCCGGAATTAGTCCATGTAAAATGAGTCTTGAGTTCGCAAAAATTAAATCGCGTGTTACCAACTCTAAGGCATCGAGAAGTCCCGTAAAATAATATTTCTATCAAAAACATCAAACAGTCTTAATTCTAACCATGCTTATGGTGGTTTGAAATTTGCATTTCCAAAAATGTACCCACGAAGACCGTTATATTTAAAATCATAATTTGCCACGTCCACGTCACAAAATGGTCAAATATATTAGCAACTTCACGCTCTCCAATGACACAATGACATGGACTACTTCATCGAAATCTCAAAGTCTGATGTTTCGCCTTTAATCAATTTTTTAAACATTTTGCCTATTTTGACTTAGATCCCTTTTCTTGTGGATAGTCACATACTTACATATTCAATCATATTCGATACAAATTTCACGCAAAACACGGCAAATACAATAATATTACCAAATTAGCCTCATGAGGGAGCAATATATGCCCATTCCTCGTGCCCACATTTTAAAGAAATTGTCTCACAGAGGCAGTTGTGCCAAAATGTCTCAATCTCTACTTCAAATAGGACACTCGAAACAAATTGGTTGAATTCTCCTTCATTCGTGTAATTTTACTTTCTATTCAAAATATTGCTTCGATAATTCTCATCAATCGGAGCAAGAGAATTAGATTTTTATGCGACGACTGCTTGACATAATGTCAGATTGTATGACTTTTATAAACTGATTTAGTTTTCCTCTTCCGCAGTGAAATCATGCGATCACACCCTCTGACGATAAACCATTTTTTTAGTAGCACATTTTTAAGAAATCTTATTTTAAAAAAAAAAAAAAAAAAAACAGTGAGATAGTCATACTTGTCAATTATTGACAGGGTGCCTCATCTTATTCCCCCTGATTTGTTGAAAAGGGGAAACAAGCCTAAATCAATCCTAAACCTCGCAATCTGATTACAATCATCTCTTAAATCATTCCATTCATGACATGTCGAAAGGTAAAACGCGTCGCATATGGAGTTCCTCACAAAAAGTTTAATTTTCTCGCAAACCACTTTGAACCAATAATACACGCGATGCGGCAACGAGAAGTGATCTCAGTATCAGTGAAATCAACTTTTTTCTCAAACCATTTGACCCGTTCAAAATCTGAGACTTGCTTTAAAGCTAAAAGTATACCTGATCCAGAATTATGTTCTGAACCAACATGCATGTCAGACATAACAGACATTCAATGTCCTCTACAACTTTTCATTTTAGTGACTTACGTTTTTCCACCCTATCTCTTGTGTCCTCTGACAGGTATTGAAGAAAAAGGCGATTACCTAGCTGGCTTAGGCATTGACGCAGTTTGGCTGAGCCCATTCTTTAAATCACCAGGGGTTGACAATGGTTATGATGTTAGCGATTTCAGGAGCATCGAAACCAAGTATGGGACGATGGCGGATTTTGAGAACATGTTGAAAACCCTCCGCGAAAAATACGGTAAGTTAGATATTGCGTCGTGTTCAAGGCTAAATTATTGAGGAATTTTTCCTTCAAACTCCCCCCCCCCCCTGTTTTTCCTCCTTTTTTTCATTTTAGCAAAGTAAAAAGAAAAACGAAAAAAGTCGGAAAAACGAACCGGTCGCATTCTATTTTCATCAAGGGCGAACTTGATTGCGCTATTCGGAATCCGAAAAAATAAATTTTAATGGAAAAATGGTTTTTGTACGCATTGTTCCATTGATATTTTGTTTGTCTGCGTTAGCATGGAGAGGCATTTGCAAAAATGGATCTGACGTGTTAGGGAAAAAGCTTCATTTTTAATTGCTATCAGAGACCTGAGAAGTATAGTGCTATGTAAAAAAAGTATCATTTATCGGACGGAGCGGCGTTCATCTGACGCGAAAAGGGTTAATATCATTCTCAGAATTGTTGTGAATAACACCGCAAAATACTTAAAAACTTGGATATACTTTCAAAAAAAATGATGTCAAATTTACCAGAGGTTTAGGAAATTCTCGAATGAATCCACTTGATTTTTGATACAGTGATACCGTTGGGTAAAGGTAATGATCCGACGAGTGGCACTTACCATACTTTTGGTGAATGAGACTGGAGTAATGGTATTCCCTACTATAGAATCTGTTGGCAATTTCCATGATCATATTACACTCAACCCATATATGTTTAAGTGTAATCCATCCCTGAAGCGTTATGAAGGCTTCTTTTTGTAGGAACTAAAATATTTGAATAGTTTAAAATAGATTGATCGGTTAAGTCTTTATTGCAGTTTAGAATGAATGCCAACCATTAGGAACTGATTTTTCCCCCAAAATCAAGCTGTTATACAGCAGAGGAAGTTCGGTAACGTTGAAAATTTAGAAACTACAAAAGTGGACCTAGAGGGCGAGGAAAACTATTCAAGGTGATAAAATTGCCAATTTTTGAGACACAGTGCTACTTGTAAGAGCGTAATAAAAGGTTTTTTGGGAGTTTGAGCAGTCTTCCCTCTAGCGTGGTTCAGAAATATTTCTGGAAAAAGCACGGCCTGAATTAATGGTTTAAAATGTTTGTGTGGTCCTTTGACGACAAATTATTCATCAAATATTTTTTTCTGAAAGAATTTGGCCACGTGCCTTAAGACTTTCGGAACAGAAAAATTAATAAAACTTAAAAATTTAAATGGATCTTCAGTTGACAAAATAATTCAACACCTCCATATGAGTTTTTTTGTAAGTTGGGTAATTCATGTTTAAGTTTTATACGAATGCTTTCAGGAATTGAGATAATTATCGACTTTATTTTAAATCATACGAGCGATCAGCACGAGTGGTTCAAAAAATCCGTCAAGAAAGAGGGTGCTTACACAGATTACTACATCTGGAAGGATCCAAAAGGGTATGTTGGCGGAAAACCAGTCCCTCCAAATGAATGGGTGTGTATCTTTTTGTGTCTTCACTACTCCAAACAATGAGCTTTCATATATCCTCATCGGAAAATAAGTTAACTAGTATTTAATTTGACTTCACGCAATGAATCGTTACTTTTGCTATACTAACTGGTATAAGATCTATGAAATTTGCGTGAGAATTTAAAATTAAACAATAGTATCTAATTACTAAATTATTCTATAATTTAATTAAAAATGTATTTTGAGAGTAAATAGCAGAGAACGACGTCATACATACATCATGCTCCAAGGCTCAAGAAAGAGTCATCAAAAATTGAAACGTACGCAGGAAAAATGAGCATCTCTACTGGAAAGATATGTTTAAAATGCGTTTCGCATTCTTTCAGTCGTCATGGTCGTTAGTTTAAAACTCTCTTCAAAATCGATACGAATTTTTACCTTCTGAAAATCAATTAGCAGCCCCTTTGATGGACCAGGAACGAATTCAGACCAGAGTATTACTATCTGAAGTCAATTTGAAATTTTAAGATTCGTCGGCGCCTTCAAATTGGTGTATATGCACATTGTGTTCACTTGGAGCTTGAATAACATGCTTTTGTCAAAGGCGCAATAAGCTATTGACCCAATGAAGTTGGGAAAAACAGCCATCAAGATAAATATATGATTTAACAGGCTCATTACTATTTCATTTATTTATGTTCAATATGTAAGAAACTTAACATCGAATTGTTTTACTACATAGGTAAAATCTTTCTTATGTCTTTCTCTTTCTTCTTCTTTTTTAGAAAACATCCCCAATGCTTGGAGGTACATCATCGTGGGAATGGAACGAGGACAGGAAACAGTTTTACTACCATGCTTATCACAAAGAGCAACCCGATCTGAATCTTCGTAATTCTAACGTCATCAGGGAGTTTACGGTGCGGTGTAGTTTGACTTATTTTTTTTAAAAAAAAAAGAGAGGGGAAAAGAATCCGAAGTAAATTAAGCATTAAACTTGTGTTGCACAAACTTATAAAAGAGGAACATATTGCTCTAGAAATGAATCTGAGTGTCCATGGAAGAAAAATTTCAGTAAGCAATCATCGTCGAGATGGGCTCAAAAATTGAATATTGAAAATTCGACAGAAAACTCTAGTACCTTGCAGAATGAGCTGCGAGTAGTTAAATTATTTGATGTGCTCATATAGAACATCAAGACACAATACATATAATCAGTTAACTCCGTGCCTTAAACATTACTGATTAAGTTTGCGATAGCTTTTTCATCGAAAAGGTGCGTTTTTTTGAATTGCAGACCTCACAATTGCGTAACTACGTTTGTTTTTATATTTATGGGCTTTTCTTATCCACAAATGTTTGTAAAATACTCTAATGTGCTTAAGTATCAATGCCACAATTTTAAGCTACGCGCGCCGTTTTCAATTAATAACGATTAACGGGAAAATTATTTTAACTGTATCGGGTTGTTGTGTGTGTTGCCTATGCACTAACTGAAGGGGTTTTTAAAGTGCAATTTTTTGTCAATGAAATTGAAAAACTACGTAAGCAATGATTTAGTGTTATTTTCAAGTTTTCAACTATTCAATTGAGTTTTTGTCATTTTCCCTTATTAATTGGACTGAGTTAAGCAGAAAGGAACCAACCCACATTTTGGAAAAAATTGAGTTATGAGTGGTTTTAAACTCAACCACTGCTCTACTATCTATCGCCAAAAATTCAAAGTTTTTGTTGGAGCAAATTTTGCAGAAATTGAACTTGAAGTTTATCTTTTACATTGAGTCTTATGCAGGAGCCAATCTTTAAACCTCTTTTTCTCGGTTCGATCCCGATGTGGCTTGGTTCCTTTCTGTTTAACTCCGTCCAATTTAGGGACACAATTCATCAGTTTTCTTACTCTACAGAGACCTCAGAGTGAAATCCGGTGTCGATATCACTTTAGAGCCCAAATTTCAAGTAATATGAAGAGAGGGTGGATTGGAAAAGGAGTATGAGCGGTGTTGGCTTCGAAAAAAGAGCAGATCAATTATGCCCCTCCGCACACACTTCCGAGTCAATAAGAGAAGTCGGACGATACCACGAAACTTTAAAGCTTATATTTTGGAAAATATGAGACGAAAAAGTTTAAGAGTGGTCTCATTGGTTTTTTTTGAAATTTTCTCTCAGAAAGACCCTGTGAAGTTGAATTTTATGACAAAATAAATTTTAAACAAATTTTGAATTTTAGCCGAGAATTTCATGTCCGACCTCTTCTATTAGTTCGTTTCACTGTGCTCCGATTCTTTGGAAGCAAAGTTCCGCGATTTTCAACGGTGTGTTTTACTTTCCAGGATCTGTTCCACTTTTGGCTTGGAAAAGGAGTAAAAGGCTTTAGAGTAGGTGCTGTCTCGTACATGTTTGAGGACGAAAATATGAGAGATGAGTCTTACTACGGACAACATACCCAGTCTCAGGCGGAATCTTATGATCTAATAGAGGACATCCGAGCTTTCTTGGACGAATATGGTGAAAAAAATAATGTTGATGTGTAAGCATTCTTTTTTTTGTTTCATTATCATTATGATTCATTAATCTAATGATCAGTTACCGATAAAATTATAGAATTTCAACTGATCAGATAATCTAGCACAAGGGAGAATAAGCGAGCCCGTGACTTTGGTTGCTTACGAAATCTGACTAAGATTCGTCGTGTAATTGACAAATCTGCGGGACGATTATTGAAATTGATAGACAAAGCTATAGACAAAAAAGATTCAAGGAGTATGGAGGGATCTTATTGGTATATATATACTCACCATGTATGTAACTTTTGACTTATTTTTGTTTTAACTTCATTGACAGAATAAAATATGAGTAACTCTGGAAGGATGAGTAATTCGTTTTAGTTTATTCTGAACCTGTCTAAGTTTATCACTTTGTTTGACTATTAACACGAGATTATAAACTTTGAAAATGTAAATTTGTTTGTCCTCCTTGTTAAAATCAGGTAATTTGAAAGTTAGAGTTTTTGATACGACTCAGTTTCTGTTAATTTATCACTTTGTGTTTAAGCACCAGGAAAAAAGTTACGAGCTTTATAGACATATACCGTCCATTCCGGGCTCAGAGACCAAGAGTCCCGGGTGCTGGAGCCGTAGCTTTAATTGCTAAGGATGCTACACCCGGAATTTTCGGCCTCTAAGTCCAGAACGCGGACGAAATGTCTTTACGTACCTCAAATTTTCTACCATGTAAATATTATTCTCATCATGTAATATTCCAGTTTGCTGATGACCGAAGCCAACGGCAAGCCTGACATGGTTTTCAAATATTATGGAACTTCTGGATCCCCAGGAGCTCATATACCTTTCAATTTCCTGCTCCTCACTCACTTGAGGCAAGACACGAACGCTCATGGGCTGAATGACACCGTTGCAGGATATTTAGGAAGTTTGACATTGAGTCAAATGCCTAACTGGGTGGTAAGTCTTTGAGCGTCATCATCTCAACACAGTGCAACGAAAATACTCAATTAGTCTTACTATTTGATCGTATTTCGCAAAAAGGGACCATCGCGATTACAGTGTTTTCAAATTTGTGCAACTTCTCCTTTTAAAAATACTTAATATACCTATGTGCGATATCAAAATTTGCACGATTATTTTCCTTTACAAATTGACAATTTTTTGCTGGAAAGTCAGCTATTCTGGGAGATTTCTGAGATAATTATGAAGAAGCAACATTTTCACAACACTGGAATCGCGCTGCAGGTTTCTTTTTCTAAATGCGATCCAATCAATGTAATGAAATTTTCATTTTTCTACCATGAAATTGCTTCATTATTTGATCAATAAATGCTGAACTAAACGGTGTATAAAATGAAAAGAAAGGAAGAAAAGATGGCAATTCCCAAAGCAGAAAATATTGCACTAGTTTTAATTTTATCGCAATAAACCTCAATAAGAGTAGCCCCTTCAATCAGTGAAGACATGCACATGCAACATGCACAGCACTCCAGCACAATATCAATAATTTTACCATGTCATTGCAATATACTGCAATTTATGCTTCTTGAAAATATTGAGAGAAAGGGAGGGAGAGGGAGAGAGAGAGTGAGAGGTTAGAGGTGGATTCAATGAAAGACGAGTTTGAGGAAGAAAACGTTTTCTTGAAACATTTTTAATCAATTGGACAACATACAAATAATATGCAGACTATCATGATTTCGTCATTTTTGTGTGGAACAAATAATATTTCAAAAACTAACATTTTAAACAATTGTTTTAAAATCATGATGTGTGAAAGTTTTCCACGTGACTGTTTAAAGAAAACCCTTTATTATGTCATAGTCAATATTTTTAAAATTATCACAAATTCATATACCTATCAGTAAATTATACTGAAAGTTACCATAGTTTCAGGAGGTTGGGAAAAGTCATTTTTTATGAAAATCATAAGTTGTCTATTTTTAATTTTTGGTGATTTTCTTACCTGTTCTTTCCTCTGTGTCTTAAACCTCTTCTTTTATGCGATAATGATTTTGGAGAAGGGTCATCTATAGACCCTTAAGGGAAGAAAACACATGCACACTTCAAACTTGAAATGAAGTGAGGTTCGTTGGACGAAACACGTAAGAAAATCATCAAAAATTAGCAGGTCTTATAATTTCAAGATATCAAGTCTTGTAATTTCTTTAGCTAGCTTTATTTTTTATGAAGCTTCTTCAACTTATAAGTTACTTTTCCAAAATTTTCCAACATATGTCTCCTTAAGTCTATAGACAGTTGTCTATGGATTGCGTCAAAATACAAGTGGCGTTTTGAAATCTTTTAAAATCCGTGAATATTTACCGTCTAAGAAAGCCATTAAACTGAAAATACTTTTTGGTAAAAGGTTCAACTAAGGAGGTTCGTGCGGTGCGATCTCCTTTTCCTTGTAGACTTGAAATTTTCCCTCAGAAATCGGCCATTTTCTATTATTTTCAGGAATATATTTCTCCCACGGTCCATGAAAAAATTGTATAACCGACCCATGTGTCTTAGAAAAATTTTAAGGTACGGAAATGGCTTTCTTCTTTATACTTTCATCACAAACTTACGTTCTTCTAGTCAGGAAATCACGATATGGTACGGATTCCGTCCCGCGTGGGGAGCGACACTGCTGTGGACATCGTGAACATGCTCAACATTTTGCTACCAGGCTCCTCAACCGTCTATTATGGAGACGAAATCGGCATGGACAGCTACTGGAACATGGACAAATCCGGACTCACGAAGATACTGCAAGAAGACTACCGCACACCCTACAGAACCCCCTTCCAGTGGTCCGATGAGAAAAATGCAGGTAGCCCCCCCCCCTTTTTTTATTCCTTACACCCCCTTTTCATTCACGGAAAAAAAAAACTTATTACTGCTGAACCCAACATTTTAGGTCAAATGGAACCAACCAAAGGCAGTAGTGCTGTGTCCTACAACTTTCAGGTCCAGCCCTACAGCTTTAAGGTCCAGACTCGCAGACTGTATGGCTCAGAACTTCTACCTTTAGTTGGCTCAATTTGATCTAAAATGTTAGGGCTCAGCGATACGTTGTTTTTTCCGTGTCCCTATGTGAATGAGAAAGAACATTCATCGGGAGAGTGTGGGTAATGGGCATATGTGAAAGTGTATAAACCCATCTAGTGCTCACCGTTGCCTTGGCAAACAAGTTGGGAACACTATTGTTTGACACTGTTTCGTGTTGGTTTACATTTCACTTCCTATATTGACCAAAAGTAACACAAGAACAGATATATTTTTATCAGTTTATGGCCCTTATCAAATTGCATACCCGGAAAGTCGCTCTTCTTAATCCAGGAACGTTTATGGCAGATTCTCCTTCCGTTCAAACAAAAATTGATTAAAATTTTTATAAAAAAAATGGCATGACCATGCTCTCTCAATGAAGGCCTTTTGACATTAAACAATCCGATGTTTTGAAAATGATTGCGGTGATTAAAAAGCTATCTAACTCCTCAAGTAGGCCCTGCTTAGCAACATATTCTTAAAATTCTACCATGCCAGTCTTGAGTTATTGTGCTTTTCTGACGACCGGCAACTGAAATTTGTATATCATACCCAAGTTTAATTACTACGAAGGGCAGATTGACCCTGTAGTGATGATTTGAAGCAAGCCGCGGTCCCCTTTTCCCATACATTTTAATTTTATAGTGGTGAAACTAACTCACACTATTTCGAATCAGGTAACTAAGGGTGCATGCTCTGGACCGGGAAAGGAATGAGTGAATCCACCTGCAGACTTCATAAATCACAAACTTTAATTTATTCCAGATGCTCCTTATTCAAAGCTATCACTTTTCCCCGGTATTCGAAGCTTTCAAAGATAATACTGATTCATTTGCAGGATTCACCACAAATGATTCACCGTGGCTTCCGGTACATCCCGACTACTACCGAGTGAACGCAGCAACGCAAAACAAAACTCCCAGAAAATCAGGCGAGACAACTCACTTGAGGAACTTCAAGAAATTGGTGGAGTTGAAGAAACTGAATCTTGCTCTCCGCAAAGGGAAAGTCTCCACTTACGTGCTTGATGAATATGTTTTCGCTTTTGTCAGGTAGATTATAATAGGTATTATAAATATAGACAAACAGGGCCAGATTTACCTACTTGCCGCCCATGGGCCGCCTGTATTTTTCCGCCCTTTTCTCATTCGTTTTGAAACAGCAATAGATCGTATTCGACAGTGGTTCGATGTATCGTTTGGTTCAAAACAGTAGAAGATAACCTCAAACAAAAATTTTAGGATTTAATTTGGAAAAGCTGAAAATGAAAAAATTCCTAACAATTTCACTTTTCATTGCCATTTGGTACTCGAGAGAATAAAAATTCGATCACATAAGACCCGCAACCTCAGATTTCTAAATTGACTTTTGAGGCTGTGGTTACATATTGAATAAATCGATATCAATATAATTTCACCTGTGTGATCTGTCGAATACGATCTGTAAGAACCATCAAGTGAACGTGCCGGTGGGGGAAGGGTGTACGAGACGCGTTTACTTGTGCTTGGCAAATTTTTTGTGAAAGCCCTGTCAACACTGACAAAAGTTCAGTTCCGTAAAACCATCTCTGTTTGGACAAGGCCTTCCATTTAAAAAAACGAACGAACAATTTATGAAAAAACAAACATAAATGTGGTTAATAATTTTACCTTCCGCCGCCGCCGCGCCGACCGCACTGTGTTGGAGCAATGCGTGAAGTATTCATGCAGTCTTGTAGGCGCTATGCATTTCACGCCGACCGCTGCTGACCGCACTGTGTTGGAGCAATGCGTAAAGTATTCATGCAGTCTTGTAGNACATTTTTTGTGAAAGCCCTGTCAACACTGACAAAAGTTCAGTTCCGTAAAACCATCCCTGTTTGGACAAGGCCTTCCATTTAAAAAAACGAACGAACAATTTATGAAAAAACAAACATAAATGTGGTTAATAATTTTACCTTCCGCCGCCGCCGCGCCGACCGCACTGTGTTAGAGCAATGCGTGAAGTATTCATGCAGTCTTGTAGGCGCTATGCGTTTCACGCCGACCGCTGCTGACCGCACTGTGTTGGAGCAATGCGTAAAGTATTCATGCAGTCTTGTAGGCGCTATGCGTTTCGTGCTGACCGCCGCCGCGCCGCTCCGTTCCAGGTCAAATTGCGTGTTTGGTTTCTCTCTTAACTCGACTAATTAAAGGTGTTGTCTCTTGTATCACCGAAAGACGGCAAAATTAAAAATTACTATACTTTTACTCTCAGGAAATGAGAGATTTTGTCGTCTCCTCTCGTTTGTAATTTATTTTCTGAATCCGATTTTTCCTCTCTTTTTTGATACCTACATTCGAAAAGATTGCAAAATTTGCCGCCCCCTACATTTTGCCGCCATGGGCCGCGGCCCATGTGGCCACCTCCTTCATCCGGCCCTGACTATAAGAATAAGAGGCTGAATCTTACTTCATAGAGATGAAGCGACGCACTTGAAACCATTCTTAATAGAAATTAAGTAGAAAATTATTAATTTCTTTCGAAGAGAGATGAATTTGCATAATACATAAATGCTACAATAATACAGAAATTAATATGTGAACGTGACCGCCCACGCACGGGAAAGGAGACTTCGCGCCGAAATACTGAGAAGGTTGAATTAATACTACCATTAAGATAAGTACGTCACAAACGTTTTTGCCCTAAAAATAATCCAGAGACAAGAGACCCTCCACTGGCCTCCTAGCGACAGGTGGAAGCTTTTACTTTCGGGGTTTCAACAATTCCTTATGGACAGTTATGAGCGAGCAACAGTCATCACCATATTTTCGGCTGTTGACTTACCTACATGGTCGATGATGAGCTTCGGATGACGTCATAAGCCAAACAACTTTCCCAAACGTCGGCCATTTTCGGCTTGTTTGCAAAACGAAACTGCCAACACGTTGTTGAACATCAACCATGTAGGTAAGTCAACAGTAGAATGCTGAAGTCCCGAAAGTAAAAGCTTCCACCATAGGCAAGTTACTAGTGGAGGGTCTCTTGTCTCTGAAATAATCATATCAAACCAGCTTTGTGATGGTTCTGGATTTTCAGATCACAGGTGTGATACTGAGAAAACGCAACTGAAAGTTTCAATCAGTCATTGACGGGGTTCAAAATTGTTGTATCAAAATAGAATTATTGGCCCCTTTAGTTTCCCAAAAATTGAGAAAACCGCTTACAATCTATGTTTTGAAATTTTAACCCATTCTTCGTCAAAAGTTAAATTCCCATTGCTCGACCCAACATGAATCCTCCGTCTTGAAAAAGTTGCCTCCTTGCACTAAAGCCCCTAGCTCCTCTCGTAACGATCCAAAATAGATAAATAGAACCAAAGCTTTTCTGTGGTTTCCAAGCAAAAACGTACTATTGAAAGGAATGTATGCGGATAATTAAATAAATTGACAATACATAATTAAGTGGATAAATAAAGCTGGTACAGGCGTCAATTTCACTGAACTGATACTTTTGAAGTAAGATTACCACAATTGTTGAAGCATCAATTTATTCGTGATTGTTCTTCTCAAGGCGCAAAAATATGGTTAATAATCGGAATAGCATTCAAGAATCCGAGAGGTACCATATGTTAATATAAAACGATAAATTAAAAGCGAACATGACAACGAGTAAACGAGATCTGTTGGAAGTAATATGAATTTTCTTTTTTTCAGAGTTCATGGGAAAGCAATGTGCCTTGTCATCGTAAATTTGAGCCAATCGCAGAGCAAACCAATCAATCTTCTTAACAATATTCCTGTTGCAAGAAGAGCCAAACTGGTTGACATCGAGGTGAAGAGTGTAAACATGCCTAGGTACATAATTATCACTTAATTATTTCAGCTCATAAAATAGATAAGTCGAACTTTACAGAAAACTCGATCTTAAAAAGGTCGTTACTGCTCTGTAACACGGCGGAGTTATTCAAAAAAAAAGTGCTATACATGGCCTGTGATTCGTTTTCTTCTATTTGTTTCTTTTGTTTTTAGCATGCAGTACAGACACACTCATAATTTCCCCTGTATGTGCACGCTTTTGATTTCATTTTGCTGTAGAATGTTCAGCCAGCCCGATTCGCACCTCTTACTCTTTTACCACTCAGCGGCCCGATTATTGAAACTATGTCAGCCCGACACGACAAGACATAGCCCTATCTTAACCATGCAATATATCGCAATTCGATGTCTTATCGGGCTGGTTTAAATTTTAATAATCGGTTGCTGTGTCCTAGTGCCCAGTCACATAATTCTTTTATTTTTTTCTTTTCATAATTCATTGTTTTTATTCTCAAAAAAACTAAACATGCATTTTTATTTTTACCTCTTTCCAGGGATCTTACCAAGACGCAACTGTTCCCCGGAGATTTTACCATGCCACCTAAGTCAGGATTGGTGCTGTCTTTTAGACTTTCAGCCTCGTAAGTTTTAAAATTACGATATCCTCACGGATTTTTTTCTAGCACTAGTATCATTTCAGGCAGCAACTTTATCATCCATGCCTTCGAGCTTCGTGGCTAACGCAAGAGATCATCTTACTTGAGGAGGGAATGGAAGGCGGCCACCTTCAAAATTGGAAACTATAGTCAAATTCCAGCGAGAAAATGTTGACAAATTTCCCGACAAAAAAGACCGGCAGCGTCCAATTCGTTCCTCCCTTCTGCGTTGGGCATCTGCTATTGACTCATAAAGGAACCATCATAAAGAAGTATCTTTTCTTTTATCACCGAATACATATTTATTAGCACCCTCTGCACTCTTCCTCACAATGCTTTAAAATCGTTGGCACACGCTCGCTAATTCTTCTTACTTCTGTCTGCACTCTTACACCTTAGTCGTATAGAGTAAATAAATGGTATATTTTTATGGTCGTCTCCATTAAAAAGGAACATCAAAACTTAAACTTGAGTTCCAAATCAAACAACATTTTCGCACAAAAAATACCTAAAATCGTAAAACTAAATCAGAGCTATGGCGGTCTGGAGTTCGCAGTTCGAACAACTTAGATTCCAGACAAAATTTCAATTCTAATCCGTCCTATACCAAGCATAATGTTTGAGGATTATTCTGCAATTTCACGCCTTTCAAGGTAAAGAAAATGAATTAAACTGCCCTGGGGTCATTTGTAAAAGATGAAACACTAAAAAGCACATTTTTAACCCCCCCCCCTTCCCTAAAAACGTAACTGTAAGATAATTTACAACCCATAACCCAAAGTAAGACTACGTAACGCTCTACTTGATCTACGATCGATCTCCTATTAGGGTTTTGCGATGCATTTTGGATGAATATCGGTCACCTCTCTCCGACTTATCATCTAAAATTTTAAAAAAATTGGCCACTTCCAGAGTGACAATATGTATTTCTGGACTCCCCCTTGCATACACACCCGCACCCGTAGTTCGCACCCCCTTTCTCTTTTGAACGTTACGTTTTTTTATAACTTATTTTTTTAACTTATTTTTATAACTTATTATATATTACTTAACTTATTATATATTTTATATAACTTATTTTTATGACTTTTCTAAATTTATTATTTTATTTATTGTTTTATTAACTACCGCCAAATTTTGTAAGTTTGAAGATTTTCTTTTACTATACTTTAATTACAATTATTCTAAATAATAGAGTATCTAATCCTAGTTTTTAACAGAAATTTAATTTTTTATTGACCAGATCTTTTTAAATTTTAAAAATTTTATTAACTTTAATTATTAATCAAGTTTATTAATATTAATAACTCTCCAAAGAACAAGGGCAATCTTCCCGTTGAAATTTTCAATCGGAGTTTTTTACCCAACTTGACAGACTATCAAGCCATTCCTCCCGATTCAAAGGATAAAGATACATATTTATGATAGCCCCTTTATGTTTCAACCGCAGATCCGAAATCGGCGAGGATGAGGATCCATCGGAATCTTCTGGTGAGCCGAGTTCCCTAAACGAGGACCCAACCCAATCTCTGGTGACTCGGATGATTCCGTTTCCTCCTCCAGGCCCTCCTCCTTTCATGCCTTGGATGTCAGGACCACCGATGTTCGGACCAATGGGCATGCCCTGGCCCCCACCGCCGCCGCCATTCATGATGCCATTTGGTGGTCCTCCACGCGGTGGGAAAGGGGCGCAACGGGCGCAACGCCGGCCGCAGGGGCCGCAACCGCCGAGGCCGCAGAACCAGCAACGACCCAACGGGTACGGAAGGAATCCAACTCGGAATCAGAATCAATATCGTAATCGGATTCAGAATCAAAACCGTAATCGGATTCAGAATCAAAATCGTAATCGAAGTCAGAGACAAAATCGTTATCGGAATCAGAATCGTAATCCGAGACAGGAACGTAATCCGACTCAGAATCGTAGTCAAAATGGGAGTAGAAGGTACATCAATGGTGAAGCTCGGGAAATGGTAGCTACGTTCATGAGAGCGTTTCAATGCGGGCTGAATATGTGTTTCATTATTCGAATTGAGAGATGCACGTCGAAAACTTACGTACAAATCGTCGCTTGGCTGACAAAAGGGCGTAACTACACATTGAGATGGGACCGGAAAAGCATTGAGTTGTATGGATGACAGGGTTCATTGCAGCGTGTATAGTTACGCCTTTATGTCAATGTCGCGTCGTCAGAACATGTGTATTCAACATGATATCGGCACCCTCTAGCCAAAGTATCACAAGCGCCATGCGACGTTTAAAAATTTCCGTCGGCTTTTTATTTTTTTACAGAGAAACTGGTTGAATCTGTTTGAAAATTTCACTGAATTTCATCGGCAGGACAAATAAAATTCAGTGAAATTTTCGGACAGCTTCGTTGAACGATTTCTCTGTAAAAGAAATGGAATGGTGGCGGAAATTTTGAAACGTCGCATGGCGCTTGTGATACTTTGGCCGGAAGGTGACGATATGTGCTCAAGAACCCCAATGCAAAATTAGAATACATTTGCAATTTAATGCAATCAAATTGTAATTTTTTACAATGAAAGTGCGAGGTCCATGTTTTAAAGAGATAGGCAACTTGCAATAGAAAGACAAATTGCACATTTTGCAAACATTGACATATTGCAAGTATCAAATTATGTATATTGAGATTAATTCGATGAGAAAAAGCCCCTTCCATTCTTAGATAGGCAACATACACATCACATCGATGCAGCACTAATAATGGGTTTACCGGTCTACCAAGTAATTTCAATTCTTTACAACTGATGCTACTAGGGTGTTGGATACGATCTCAATCGAAAAGCACATTGTATTCTTAAATAATCATAGACCAAAACGTATAAACGATTAAACCTTAATTGAACACACATTGAAGTGAAGTATCCGCTTCCAAATAGGACTTGTCTTATCCTAGATAAGATTTGCTGCTAACTGAATTTCCTATACCAATGGCATTTTTTAGATCTAAATTAATTCACCGTTGAAGAAAAGTGTTAAAACGAGTTCGTTTAAACTTTTTTTTTTTTTTTTTTTTTTTTTTTTTTTTTATGAGTGATGAATCCGTATTCCGTAACTCTCATCGGGGCCGGGTTGCGCATTGAAAGTAATCATATGAACGTTGCTACTTTGTAAATTGCACAGAGGAAAAATTGTCGGTCATACGAACCAATAAGTTCGGATTTCCTGCTCAGATGTATCAATTTTCAATCTCAAGAACTGACCTCTTCGGTTGACGGAACCAAAATTCGGTTCAATAAATCGTGCGTTTTGTGCAATAAACGTAAGATTCAGTTCAACGAATTGAAAAACTTTGGTTCATAGTATGAGCCATAGTTTGAACTTCATGCGGAGAAGTCGACAGAATTTTTCTGGTTCAGTGAACTGAAATTTTTGGTACGTAAAGCTAATTAAAAATCTTTGGTTCACCGAACGGTTTTTTGAATAATTAAGAACGGAGGTTCGCTTTTGTCAACTTAATGGGTCGATTTCTTCGACTAAAAGCTTAGTTCTCTGACCCGGAGAGCGTCTTCTGAATTCATTGGTTCTTATGACCGATAATTTTTTTCTTTCTTTTTGAGCAATGGAGCAAGCGGTATCATACTGTGTGTGTTTCTTTTATTTATTTATTTATTTATTGATTTGTATTAATTACAACAGACAGAGAGCGTTATCTCTGTCCAAGTACGCCATATTCTGACTTTTAGTCCATCATATCATTTTAATTAAAATCTTTATTAAGTCCAAAGCATGAAGCAGTAGTATAGTTTAGAAAATTCGACACTTGAGCCGCGTTTAGCAGAAAGGAACCAAGCCACATCAGCTATTGCCAAATTTAACAGGGCAATACAATGTTTTACAAGAAAACGTTTGTGCGGACTCCTTAGACATTTTTAAGTAATTTGCTTCGCCCTGATGTGCAGAAAAGTCACTGAAATTTGCACAAAAATCCGCACAACCTTTTTCATGTAAAAAATTAAATTTGGGAATACCTGATTTGGTTTGGTTCCTTTCTGCTTAACGCGATCCTTTTGTGTGAAATTTCGCATTTTTTTTAGGATTATTGTTTCAAGAAAATATTGAAAATCTTGACAATAAGTCAGAAATATTTCTGATACACCTAGGGCTCCTTTCGCCTATGAACACTTACACATTTTCAAAAGTAGACGAAAATCTCAAAGAGGCTCATCAGAAATCACTCACTGAAAAAAAAATCTCAGTGTATTTACTAAGAAAAGGGTAAAATTACCAAGAATTCAGGGTTCTATTTGATCCCAGTTTTTTCTTGGTAAAATTACCATTTATGGAATTGGTAATTTTCCCGAGAAATCTCGGTAAAATTATTGACTCTCTCGGTAATTTTACTGGACCGCGGTAAAAACGCCAATATTTTTTATCGACTGTGGTAGAATTACCGAGATAAAATGGCAAAGTTACCGGGAATTGATTACCAAAAAAAGTGATATTCTTACCTGGAAAAAACAGTAAAAATACCGGTTTTTAGGTAAGCTTACCAGTCTGTCTTGGTAAAGTTATCAATTATTGGTAAAACAAAGTGAGATGGTAAAGGTACCAATAATTGGTAAAAAAAGTGAGATGGTAAAGGTACCAACGGACCTCGATAAAGACGCCGATAATTTTTTTCCAGTGCTTAACGGACTGACGCTTCATTTTTTCCAGGCAAAACACCCGAAAACCGGTCGACCTGTACCACAACCTGATAAGCGCACCCTCCCGCGGCGTGAGGCTGGCGGCCAAACTCCTCGGCGTGGACCTGAACCTGAAATCAGTGGACCTCGCCAAACAGGAGCAGATGCAACCCTCTTTCCTCAAAATGAACCCGCAACACACGGTGCCGACGATGGACGACAACGGATTCTACCTCTCCGAGAGCAGGGCCATCATCACCTACCTGGCCAACAAATACGGCAAAAACAAGAACTACCTTTACCCCAAGGACCCCGAGAGACGAGCAGTCATCGACCAACGACTGTACTTCGACATGGGGACTCTCTTCCAGCGGTTCCTCGATTACTGGATGCCGTACATGTTTGCTGGGGCCCCGTTAGACGAAGCCAAGTTGAAAAAGTTGGAGGAGGCGTTCAAGTTCTTCGATGATATGTTGAAAAGATCCGTTTATGCTGCTGGAGACAGAATAACAGTTGCCGACGCGGCTCTTGCTTCGTCTGTGTCCACGATTGAGGCGGTTGGTGTGATCGATGTCGACAATTACCCGAATGTGAGTCGCTGGTATAGGAACGTCCAAAACGCTCTTCCTGATTACGAGAACACCAATCAGAAGGGTGCTATGGCGTTCAACGAGTTTGCCAATGCGATGATTAGCAAGTGGAAGAATGCTTAGTCGGATATTTCGCGTGTCCGCTCAGTGTCCCAAGCTTATCTGTATTTGTACCCCCGAAACTATTTCGTAGTTGATTTCAATCAAAATTTCCTAAAATTGATGGAAAAGTAATAGTTATAAAAATTAGATTTGTTTGTTGGTGATGATGAACTCCAGAACAACACAGATTTCAATATATTGAAATATTTTTTTTTAGTTTTGTATCACCGCGCAGTATTAAAATTTTAATGCATGAACCTCTTTGACTTTTTCCAATTTTTGGGCTCGATAATATTCCGTTTCGGTCTATCCTAGAAATTAAAATAACGAGTATGCTTTGTTAAATACCGTTGTGGTTGGTCTTAACCTATAGGTGACCAAAAATTACGAGCACTACGGCTATTTGGTGTGTTTGTTGAATCGTGTCGTGTCAATTGTCTTCTTGAAAATCTGTTAGATTAACAACATCTTTAACATCAACAAGCTTTCAAAAATTTGAAACCCATGGATTGAACATATTTTTTTTCTTTTTTTTTTCTTTTTTTTGCGCGAGAAGAGATTAAAATTTCTGAGGAGACCCAGTCCGCGTGTAAAGTTTTTCAAATCTAAAAAACTGACCAAAAAAAATTGGGAATGTAGTTCGGAAGGGATTAGTAGAGACTGAAAAAAGTTAGTGGTTGTAGGTTAAATAGAAAAATTGTCAGTCATTAAAAGTGCACCAACTTGATTTAAGAATGAAACTTTTTAGAAGTGGTTAGCCAATTGGTCAGATGTAAGCAGAATCAGCATAAATACCTTAGATGTTTCCTAATTTCCATTCATGTTTCCTTCCTTTTACACTAAACGAGGTAGCATCCTGCCTTAATAATTTTGAGAGTGAATTTTCCATAATCTAGGAGCAATTCACAAAACATTTCAAGACATTGAATTGTTCAACTCATTGTTGAAAAAATGAAACAAGGCAACATGAAATGCAGCTAGGCTGATTTAGGATAACTTATTCAACGATTGATCTAAATTAATGAGACGATTAAATTGATGATATATCACGCATATACCCAGAAAAGGCTTAAGTTCCATCCAGTCACAGTTTTGGCATCTCAACCGGTTGGCAGCATTGTTGCTCAAATTCCAGAATCTTTTGTGGATGTTAGCTGCTCCTCTTCTCCGGTTTTACACATGCGGGCATTCAGCCAAACTCTTCACTAAATGGGAACTCATTCTTAAAATATTTTTCAAAGAAAATTAATAAGCCTTGTGAATTGGTGAGATAGCATCAAATTCTTCTGATCATCACGGTAAAAACGACTCTATTGCTGGTCCTGAAACATCATTTTAAGTCTCATAACATCTGCCATTATCGGGTCCCCGCAAAACCTAAGCTACCCAAGCCAATAAAAAGTAGATTCACTTGAGCACCAGGATTACCTCAAGAGAAGCGCCTTCGAATTACAACCATGCAATTTGTGACACACCACAGTCTTTGTCAGGCTGTGCGTGGTGTACGCACTGTTTCAATAGCATCTCATTAATAAAAATACGAAAACCTATCTTAGCTCATTAATTGCAATGATATTTCTGAGATGGCAACATTGACATTTTTGGACCGACGTATTAGCTTATCTTCAGTGTCTCAGATAATTTAATCATATGAAATATTGTCAGATTGTCGTGGAATTAAATGAAGCACGGACGAAGGTTAGCTTTTAATCTAGCAATTAAATCAGACAAATTGAGATAATTCTAATTCTTCATATCAATTATTCTCCTATCTTTTTTTCTCTCGTTATTTTTCTCTAAAAAATAAAATTGAAATTGACGCAACATGGGTTTAGTGGATTTAGAAACAGAACAGAAAAGACAAGGAAAATACTGCTTGAGGCTCAAGTCGCATGGATAGATAATACTCGCTTTTAAAAATTTTCTCGTTTTTGGAAGAGGAGAACAGTTGTCAACTTTTCGTGTCACGTTGAACTCTTTTTCTTTGTTCTTGCATGCACTTGACCCGAGCTTTTTTCTTAGCAACGTGAAAATGTTCTGTCGTATATGGAGTTTCATACACGATGGCAGACTCTACATTCCTTACTTTTACTCCTTTGCCTCGATTTTATAAAAAAAAATCATATACTTAAAGTCCATTTTTCACACAAGCATATTTAGTAGTGGTATCAGCGTTCTAATTGTAAGTCTATTTTTACACATATGATATCACACGGTCTTGATAGTAAAATCTAAAAATTGGAAAAAATAAAATTATAAGAATATAATTCAAAAAAATGTAAATGTATGACATCATATTCGACGTCATGGCCTACCAGCTTATATGGTACCGTCATGTGAACAGGTTTCACGGAAGGAAGTCTGCCTAAGAAGATGCTTGATGTTCCTTTTGGGAGGAGACAAAGAGGACGCCAATTAATAGGAAGGATGGCGACAGGGGGTTTCAAATAAAGAAGGGAGTTCCAACTCCCTGGAAGGCTATACGTAGGAGGACAGGGCATACTGTGGTCGTTATGTGTCGCAGAGCGCCAAAGAGAGCTGTGAAAGCTATGATACATGGAAAAAGTATCACAATCCTAACTATATTCCTAGCTGATTTTGGCGCCAGATGCTAGAGTAGTTGCGCAAGCAAGAGGTATGATTAAGTCACTTGAAAGTGAGGATGGATCAACCATAACTCTAGCTGGTGCCCTCACAGTCAGCATACGTATGGTTGGATTAACTATACCGCTGACTGGTGCCTTCTCATTTAGCTGGTGCAACTTTTCCTATGGATGGCGCCAAAGCAGGACCGGATTAAGGGGGTGGCTACATGGGCCGCGGCCCAAGGCGGCAAATTTTGCAATTTTTTTAAATGTAGGTATAAAAAAATATCGGATTGAGAAAAAAAAATTACAAACGAGGAAAAGCGACAAAATCTCTCATTCCCTGAGAGTATAGTAATTTTTTATTTTGTCGTCTTTCAGTGATACAAGATACAGCACCTTTAAGTAGTCGAGTTAAGAGAGAAACCAAACACGCAATTTGGCCTGGAACGACGCTGCGCAGAGAGCAATGATGACGAGGACTTGAGATGAAAAGGAGAAGCCCTCGGCGTGGCGATCGGCATGTAACACATATTAGCGCCTACAAGACTGCACGAATACTTCACGCATTGCATCAAACACACTGCGGTCATTGCGGTCAACGTGAAACAGATGACGCCTACAAGAATGCATGAATACTTCACGCATTGCGTCAAACAGTGCGGTCAGCGTGAAACGCATGGCGCCTACAAGACTGTGTGAATACTTCACGCATTGCGCCGAACACGGTGCGGTCTGCGCGGCGCGGCGGCGGAAGTTAAAATTATTAAACCACATTCATGTTTGTTCTTTCATAATGTTCATTTCTTATGAACCACACATTTCTTATTTTGGCCTTGTCCACACAGAGATAGGTTCACGAAACTTAACTTTTGCTAGTAGTGTTGACAGGGCATTCCCAAAGCATGTGTTCAACACGAGTGAACGCGTCTTATGCACCCCTCCCCCGCTGGCACGTTCACTTGATGGTTTTTAGTAATGTTTCGAAACGATTGAGAAGGAGGCGGCAAAATACAAGCGGCCCATGGGCGGCAAGTAGGTAAATCCGGCCCTGCGCCAAAGTCAGCTGGACGTATAGTTGAAATTGTTATATTTATTTTTCTTCAGTAGAAGCGACTCCCAGATATATAAACGAAACGAGAAATGAGTGGCCTCGGAGAACGATGCGCATAAGTGCAGTTTTTAAAAAAAATTGAGATATCAATGATTTCAATTGAAACTAGTCTTAAAGTATATTCTGTGAAAACTTCGCTCCCAAATTCCAACTTTTAAACATCAAAAAGTCAGTTTGAACTTTCTTTCCGCCATAAGGATCTATGTAATTTCGAAACTTCAAATACGGATTTCTCGAAGTAGTAAAAACTGCGCTTATGCGCCTTGTCCTCCAAGTCCCTCAAGTAACATTTCCTGGGGATATTTTTCAAAAACTCATCCATCGGATGCAAGGCAAGTCTGCACGGAGAAAAATCTGAAGTACGTCACATCTGAGACGTCACTCTAAGAGTCACATCTGAAGTACTTCAGATGTAAGAACTGAAGTTTCAGATGTGTGATCCGAACCTCGACAGCTAGACCTAAATGTGTTCAGATGCTCAATCCGAAAACTTTAGAGATCCATATGACCCAAACTTCGGGTCCGACGCACGAGGTTTTTTTCTCCGTGTGGAGCCAAATTTGATGCACGCACGTCATCCATCGCGTTGTCACCTCTTCGTCGTCGTCGTTTCGTCTCGAACTTTAGGACGCGGTCCTCGCGGAGGAATCAGCTGGTTTTCCGCCCCTCATGGCAACTGATCGTACTCTTTGTCTCTGCCTGGAGCGAGCTCGACCAGCACTGGTTCTGACTCTGGCGGACCCGGCATGACTCACGGACTCACCCAGGCCCGGCTGCCGCGGTCGCCTCGCGTTTTCCACCGTCAGTCGATCTCACGCCGCGAGCTTCGGCGGGCCGTCTTAACTGATAGTGGCCGAGCCGAACCCCCGATCCCGTGTTTACCCGCCGATATTTGACCACGCGCGGTTGTTTACGATCCTCGCTCCTAGTTTTTTTTCCATTTTTGGGGAGGAAAAATATGCCCTAGTCGTCCACCGAGCTGAAATTGAGTGTCGATTGTTGAGTCTAACCGTGTTTCGGCCCACGTGTGTGAAGTCTCAGTTACGAAAAGGAAGCTCTGCGAGAAATTTTCCAGGATTAAATCGGAGGAGTCGGCCTTCTCATTTTTGTTTCTTTCCAAGTGACCAGGGAATCTACCTTTCGTGCAGTCAGTCGATTGAAGTTGAGATATCAAGGTAAATACTGGAAATTTCCGAAAATGCCCGTTTGGGCCGGTTCATCAGAAAGGAACCAACCCACATTAAGTTGAAACTGAGAAAAAGAGGTTTGATGTTTTATTCCTGCATGAGGCTCAATATGAAAAATATACTTTAACTCCTCTCTTTTCACAATTTTTTTGTGTTTTCAGACTTTCAGTTTTTGGCAAGAGAGAATTTACGGCTGGGGAAACTCAAAAACGTTCATAACTCAATTTTTTCGAAAATGTGGATTGGTTCCTTTTTGATAAACTCGGTTCACTTTCACACTTATTTGACAGTCTGCAGTTGAAAAAGTTTTGATAAAAAAAAACTCGAAAGTTTTGATGCTCAAAACTTGAAAGTTGATCTCTTGCATCGAAAAAAGAGAAAGAGAAAGGAAAAAAAGAGAGAAAACGGAAAACAGATTTTTACCACCGTGTTACGTATGCTGGTATTGTGTTCATGAATAGACTCCATGGTAACATTCTACATACCAAAGGCCATACTACGGATACATGTGCCACATTGTATACAAATGCCTGTTTACATTTACCATACTATGGTAATATATTGCTATTTGGACGAATTAGCATCACTTAATAGCTCAAAATGATCTGTTACCTACAGGATGACTATTTAATTTATACCTGGAGCATCTGAATCTCCTACGAAAATCAATATATGTACAAATCTTTGCAGGTGGGGTCTCAGTTTCTATCTTGGGTTGGTATCCTCTTTGTGAAGCCCTTCTCAAATCCTTCTTTCTTGAAGCACTCTTAATTTCTGAAAAAAGTTCTCACCTCAAATGAACTATCGGATCAATAGCTGAAACAGTATTTAGTTACAGTAAACAGTGGCCAAAAGTTACTCAATTTTATGGGGAAATTAAAAAAAAAAAAGTCAAAGGCTCCTAACTTAGGAAGTGTCTCTTCTGACCCCTTTCGATGGTGCTCTCCTCATGTCTTTTCTTACGCCCCAAGAAAGCTAAAATATACTACGGTTCTCCCAAGATGTGAAGAATTCTTAGGACGCTAGTTTATTCCTTGAATGCCCTTCGAAGAGGTCGGCGAGATTTTGCAGGAACCTTCCAAAAAGTAATATTTTCCTTTGGGAAACTCTGAGAACATACAATGAACGTCCTTGACACACATTCCTGGGCTTGAAGACATTCTCAGCATGTGCTTCAAAGACTTTGTCTAATCTCACAGTTCTGGGAGATTTCGTTCCTGTCGCAGCGTGCGTTGAACCGGTTTATTTGTTTGGACCTTTTTCCTATCGCACCAGCGCAGCGACTAGTGACCCGCTGCCTGATTCATGTTGCATTTGACTTTGATATCTTGCTTTTGTCGGGTACTCCTGCCCACACAGTTAAATAAACAATACCACCAAACTGCCGTGCTAAGGAAGAACGCCATATGAACATCTAAGAGTTGCCAAATTTTCCTTTATAAAACATGTATTTTGACGTAATTTAAGCATATTTTCTCTCGAAATTTTCAGATATGTAAGATTAAATTGCGTACAAAAATTGTCTGAAATTTTTGGAAAAAAAGATTTACAATTTTCTCTGTACATTCTGTTATTATTGAAGGAAATTCGGCAACGTCCGAAGGCTCATACGGCGTTTTTCCTCAGCACGGCAGCAAAGCGGACTCGACTTAATGTGAGTGGTAATGCGAGGTATAGAATCAGGCTGAAGTGTATCCGGTGTCTCCTATCCTTGCACCATTACACTTAATTGGTTCTCGCCTACGGGTCAGTACACTCTGTAGCATTGATATACCGTTTATATGTTCATTTTAATACTTACAAAAACGAATCGTATAATTTCAATAATTTCTCACAATTTAACGAAATACAATGATGTGGTCAGAGAAATCGCCGAGTGAACGTTCGATTTTGAAATTTACCCTGAAATTTTTTTATTTTTTATTTTTGAAGGTAGTCATCGATTCCTCTCTTTGGAAGTCTTAAATAAATTAGTTTAAGATGTAGATAAAATTCTTTGGAAAGTAACAAAGAATCGGCAAATTATCAAGGAAATCCGTGTTGATCAGGAGAAATTTAGCAACGGCTAAATTACCACACGGCTTTCCACCGTTGCACGGATTGTTAGCATCTTAACGGGGTATGACTTACCCCATTTACGACACTGCAAACACCATTAGAGGTGACTGGAATAATGTGCGGCAATTAGCATCTTACTGTAAAGATTTAAGTATGCTATATAATCAGAAGTATAATGTTAAACTAAGGAACAATTTTTTTAGAATACACATTGCTAACTTTTGGAACCGTGTTCACTGTTCACCCTTCCCGAAGAAACGCCCAAAAGATTCAGAAAAGAATAGTTTCCAGGAACTTCCTAAGAGTTACTGCTTGGCGACGATGAGTTTTTTCTATTCTCTCCGTCTCTCCTTCTTTCCATTTTTGATGTCATAAGAGACAAATTCTCTTGCGGATGGCTGTCCAACCTTCAGGGGCCTCTTCCAATTTGTTTGTTCTCGTATTTTTGGCAAACTTATCTCCAGACGCGAGCTTAAGTCTAATCGTTAGCTTGTCGTTCAATCGATTTTTTTATTGTCAGCTCCACAATGATTAAAAGACAAGCGAGTAACTGATAAACCTTTGATTACCATTTCCTCATATGGGGTAGCTCAGACCACCCATAAATAGGCAAGAGTCTGGTTAGGAGTGGTTAAGAGCCCTCAATTATTTTACGTCTTTAAGATTAAGCACATCACACGGGACAGAATAGGAAAAATAGCAGAAGAGAACAGAAACTTTCAAAAGCGTTTGGTGCCTTTCTAAGTGTGACTAGCATGCACGCCGGCGTTTTTATGAAAACTTATCATTCTCAACACTACGCTACGCCGCTTTGCTCAGCAGGAGTAGCAAACGATACTATAGCAAGGCGCGAAATTACCAAAAAATTATCTATAGTACGTGCGCCTCCGATTTTTGAAAACGTGCTGGCGCCAGCATGGAACTTTTTTCGTCGAAGATGAGCGTAATACCAAGTAAATTTTTAAGTAAATCAACTTTGGACTCAGCTTTTCTCTTTATAAAATAACAATGAAAATGACTTTTCCATATAACTGATCATAGACTGGACTGATTCTGGTTCTACGAGTCAACGATTCAAAATCATGCTTCTTCACACCCAGAGGCACATTTTTATCATTGCGACTCAACTGTGCGAAGTCATGAAACAAAGGAAATGGGGGAAAAAAGTATGAATTTATCACTAGATATTTGCTCCTCTTTTACGGTTTCTAATAGGTACACATTTTATAATGGGCACTTCGTGTCCACATTAAAGTGAACGAACATTTCGGTGAGCGAGTTCCGAAACATATTTTTATCGGCTGCCTTGCATCAAAGACATGGGTCAAAAGGCTATGTGACACTTCAGGCAGTTTTTTCACTCGATTGTGTTATTTATTGTTTTGAACCCTGGTTATCAGTTCAAATCAATTAAGTACACATTTTAGTAATAGACGTCATTTGTGTCACGCTGTTTATCAACAAGCGACCGTAGGGTTACACAACTTTCGAATTGAATCTGTCTCAATCTGGACGATTCCTCTTTCCATCCTTTTGTTTCAAAAAAGACTAGGATTGAACAGACGTCCGAGTTATTCTACTATTTTAGGACTCCACGTGGAGTCTCACTTACCCTTCCTAAACACTTTTCACTATTTCCTTGGAGAAGAAAGGGAGCTGTTTTCGCGAAGTCCTGGAGAAGTCTTGGGACATCATTCGTAACTTTTCTAAATTTTTCTCAAGATATTCTGTCCTTTACTTTTTCCTCTCTCTTTTTATATGTCTTTTGCGCTTCAGTGTTGTCCTCTTTTTTGCTGATTTTAAGCAGTCGGTTCAACATTTATTAGACGCTTGATTGTACCTTTGTCATTTCTTTCAAATAGCTTTCTGTGATTAAAACTGCAAAAATCTCATTGGATCTTCAGTTTTGGAGGTGAATTAAAGAAACTAACGCCTGAAATAATAGACCTTAAATTTACAAGAAAAAGAAAAAAACGCATCGGCACTTTTGAACATAAACGCGCCCATGTTGAACAGAGTTTTTGATTGATCCAATAATAAATTCAGAATACATTTTAATTTATTCCAATCGAAGTTTGTATTAATGCAGTCAACGATGTGGGTATGCAGCTATTCGATGTACACGTCGAAAAAGTTCATGATATTCTTTTTCTCGTGCTTCGATGACATCCCCAATCTGATTACTTCGTCTATAGACTAATGAACAACGAGGTCCTAATCAGACAAATTAAAAATAATTGCCTCGGCCAGTTGCCCTCCATTGGTGCACGAGTATCGAAGTAATTCTGATTTATTACGCCGCGTGAGCGAGACGATACAACAATTTTAAACGTTTTCACATCATAGTGCGCGCGGAAAGAGGCTCGACTCCCACAATTTATTCAAAATTGAGTTACTGATACCAAAAAATTGAGTTGTGATCTGTTAGAATTTCGAGGAGGACAATTCTCAAAAGAATGAGCTTAATTGGAGTTAAAGAGGTTTGAAAATTGCACTTCAAAAAACTAAGGTACCAGCAAAATCATTTTTTAAAAAAAATCCCAAGGTGCCGTGTTTGAGGCACAAAGTTGCAGAATTGGACCGCGTTACACAGAAAGGAGTCAAGCCACGTCAGTTATTGCCAAATTATTTGGGCAATTCAATTGTGGACATGAAAACGGTCTCGCGAATTTTCGGGAAAATTTCAGTGAATTGTCTCCATACTACAAAGCCAATTTCTTAAAATTTTCAGAGGAATCCGCACAAACGTTCTCTCGTAGGAAATTAAATTGCCCAAATTAATTTAGCAAAAACTGATGTAGCTTGGCTCTTTTCTGTTTAGCGCGGTCCAATTGTAATATGACTATATGCCCCTTATCTGCAGAAAAATGTAATAGGCGGGTCGCAATATCACGCACTAGAGTGACTTTTCGGTCAAAATCTAGAAATCT